TAGGTTCTTGTCTTCGAAAAGTGATGTGTTGGGCAATGTGCAGGGAGCGCGCGTGTCGCATGCTGCTATAGTAGTGCTGTTAACTTTTACTGGCAACATGTATAAACCACCATGAGATTTGCACCGTGCAACACTAAATACTAAAGATAAAATTATAAAAATTTTAATGGCTTCCACCAAAATTTAAAGTTGATTTAGGATTTAAGTTTACCCAAACTGAAGTAATGTGGGTTATGTTACCAAATCTATGGCATGTGTTGCTCCTGAACTTGAAATTGTTCGCTACGTGGCTTTTCATATATGTTCCTTGTTAGGTACCTTCTCAATTTTGTTTTCCTTCTTGATCCTCGGATATTATTAACGCTCAATTTATTAACACAATTAGCATGGCTATCAACATTTTTAGCATTAAATGAATTATCGATTATCAATGCTTTTTTATATGCATTATGAAGACTAAGTGCGTCATTCTCTTTATACAACTTGATAAAAATTTTTTAAATCCATTACGAATCTGTCTTTGACAAATGCTCTTATGTATTCACCAAATTGCCAACATAATGTTAATTGTTTTTTTCGAGCGACCAATTTGCAATTATTTTGCTATCAACTTTTGCTCCATTATAAAAGTTTTTGTCCACTTATAATTTCACATAGTTTGTTGTATGTTTTGTTAATTGGGGCTGTGGACTACACAAACTGCGTAGTGTAGAATAAGCAATATTTTCAAAAGATTTAAGTAGGATGGTTTTCTTGACACTATCTTCTTGGCAATATATTTCACATAAATGAATGTGTAACCTCCCTTTCTAAATAATCCACGTTTGTTGGTGAACGTTTCACTAAATGTGTTCAATTATAAAAAGTTAGTGATTGAGTATTCCTCTCATTCACTGTAGCCATTTTAATTTGTTTTTAATACATTTACTTAATCCACCTAAAAATTACATAAACCGAACTAGTCTCATTATCCATTGGTAATGTTTTCAGTGCACGAAACGTGTATATTAAATAAATTCGGTGGTCTTCATTTTAATTATTTCCATGCATATGTAGGAATTGTCAGATACAAGCTTTAGTAATTTAATCTGAAAGCTTTTAGTGGCGCACTCAAACAGCTATGTTTACCTTACGCAGACGCAATGCAGTATAATAATAATACGTACGTAGTTTTAAGTTAATTTAAGTTGTAAGCGACACGTAGTTGCGCTAACATTCATTATTCATTCGTTTTTCGTCCATCAAAATTTTCGATCATTTTAACTTGGGAAATATTGTGGTTCATTTGCAAAAAAAATTAACCACAAGTCACGAAATCTTCCAATTCATCTTTTACTCCCGTCTTCGGTTTTGCAAGTGTAATGCCAAATTCGTTTCGTTTTTAACAGCCAAAAATATTGCTGAAAAAAACCTCCATTTCTTTGCGCAATGTTTTTTTTAAAAATTCATCTCGAATTTTTCTTTGTTCAATGTTGCAGAGAATATACAAATTCTGTCTCAAAAGTGAATTACGAACAAAACAAGGTCAGTTTAAAACGTTTTGAATAAAATTTAAGTCAATTTTCAGGCTTAAAAGGTATCGGCGTATCATGCACACACGCATGGCCATGTTTATTTTGTTCAAAGAATTGATCGCTAGCACATTTGCCACTTTCCTCTTGTTTGTTATAAACGTGGCGTTACACAAAAGCAAAGTCAGATCAGTGTTAAAAGAAATAATCGATATAAATCCTTTTTTGAGCGAATATGTGAAGCTCGGAGTATATGATGAAGCTAAAATGCTTGTTCGTCTTAACTTCGTCGAGGAATTCCAGTAAA